TGAAAACTGGATAGAAAGTAATCAACTGGTCCAGAAGTTATCATGAAGAAAGACAAGCTACTCCTTTGCCTGATCACGTATGCCTCCTGTCTGTATGAAAACCGGAGAAAATCCTTTTACCCAGTGCGTAGTCCCTACTTTTCTTTAAAGACAATCCGAGCGATGGTATTTGGAGCTGTGCCCGCTCAAGCAATCCATGGGCTGGGGAAATAATTACAGAGCCATGCACCCTTCGATCACCGTGTGAGGGAGGTAATGACGGCACGGAGTAAGCACAGCAGATGGGAAGCGATTGCTCTCGTGCGCTTCGTCTGCTGCCTGGCAGATCTCACGTGCTGCCAGGGAGGAAAGCAGGTTTGGAGGCTATTTGAGCACCTAAGCATGCCGAGAAGTGTCCAGTGGGATTTTTCAGCTGCATGTCTATGCCAGCCTGACACAGCTCCATGGAGGTTGCACGGAAGCTGGATAGAGGTGTTGTACATACTCTTGTTTCTGTCTGGCCCAGCTGGCATGTCTCAGATGCTTTGATGGGGACTTACTGGGGGTGAAGGACTCCACATGACCACCCATGTTCCACAAGAGAGCAGGTACAGAGTGAAGCTCATTCACACCAGCACAGACTTAGGTCTCTGATAATGAATTTCTTTCTACAGGAGGGAAAGAAATGTGTGCCATGGTATTGCTCTCTTTCCTAAAAATAAATGCAGGGAGAAAAAGAGGATTCAGACAAAAAGACCTTGCAGGATTATCAGCCCCCACCAGGCAGAAATCCTGACAGGCCCCAATAAATCGTCTGATAGGTTTAATGGTAAACTTGACAAGACAAAAAGATTTTTTTTTAACTTCTTTCTCTGACTTAAGAAGCTTCAGATTTGCCTACAATCTACAAAGCTAAAGTCTTCTGTAAAAATAAAAACTGAGGTACCTGCATGACTCCAGAGGGTGGAGATTTACAAAAAAATAAACATAATGAGGTTTTTTTGATCAGACACTGTTTGTGGAGGAGAGTTCTATGGTGAAAGGCATACAACATTTACATTTTCCTCTGCAGAGGCTTCCCTGCAAACTACACAAAAACCCCTGTGACTGAGCCCTTCAGACTCAGCTATAAGCTGTTAGGAAAGTAGCTAATGCAAAAAATTGCAAGCATAAAAACTCGTATGCCCCGTTTGTAGAAAAGTGGAAAATTAGTCAATAAACACTGTCTACTGTTAAAAATCAGAGTACTCAGAGACGTTATCCCTCCTGAGAGGTTATCCTAAAGCAGTGGCCTCTGGACAGGTCACCTGAATGTCTCATGTGCGCAAAGCCCCTGTAGCTTACCTGTGCAGCTCAGGTGAGAGGGGGACCCGGAGACCACTTCGCATGATGCCAGCGTGACCAGGAGGACACCGTGTGCCTGTGAGGCAATGGGAGTCACATCCCGATCTCACAGTCCGAAGAAGCAAGCACGATGGAAGATGGGATACATGGGAAGAAAATGGCCCGGTCCTGACAGTGATTTACTGGTAGCTGAGAGAGCGAGCAGGACTGGGCAGCCACAAGCAGTGGGTGTAAGTCTCTTGTGGGAAGGAAAACGCAGATCAAAATAGGAGCAACTCAATGAGCAAGTATACAACACAGTGATGGCTTCAGGCTCTCTGTTTTACAGAGGGAAGATGAAAAGCAGCGACTCTCAGCATTGCTTGGGATAGGAAGATCACCAGGCGATGCCCTACTCATGAAAATCAGATATCCGAATGGAAAGGAACTGCTTTTGCTTTCAGACTGCATTTCTGAATCCACTGCTCCTCCCTGCTGGCTCAGCTAAACCTGATGCGCATCTTTGTTTCCACCATGCAGGCAGACCCTGCACAGCTGCATTGCTTCGATACAGATGGCCTCCAAGAAGCCCTAAGTTAGCAGCACATTGGCAAAGAGCCTTGGTGGAAAAACTAAAAGTCCCACACAGAGCAGAAATACTCCCTGCAAGGAAGCACATTGCTTTTATGGAGCACAGGGAAAAATAATCTTTCTATTTGTAAAGAGCATCTCTCAAACCTTACAACATTGATCCTTGTATAATTCTTTTGCACCATGACATAGACATATACAGCATTAAATGTACTGCCAGGTGCTGCAGGAATAAACTGAGAGCACCTGTCCCTTTGGACTGAGCTGCACTGCAAATATATCTTCTGCAAATCAGGGCGTCACCTGTAAATGCATTGCACACCTAAAGGAGACCAGGTTTTTAGAAAAGTTCACCACAAGTGCTAAATTCTGGCACAAAGAATTCTTCCACCACCTTTGAAGTTCCTAAGTGTTACAATTTTTTCCCAGACTGGGCCTTTTTAGTAGAACTACCCAGGAGACTTCTGAAAACATGAAATTTTCAAGAGCTCAAGCAGCTGCAAAAAAAAGGTTTGAATGCCAGGGCCAAGTTTTGATCTTTAGTTATAGTTCTGACTTTTGATAAAGGACGGGGAATGTTGGACTACCCTTTTGTATTAACAAGAGATCTCAAATGCTATTCAGGAGTTTAAGTTAAAGGACCTGTATAAATAGAAATCACACGCTAATAGGATGTAATGTTTTACTACCTCACATATAAAACATCATTCTGAATGGTTTATGCTCCAAAGTATGAGTTGATACCACTGTCAGTATTCGCTTAGCTAGGTGCAGGATTTCGGTGGTTTGTACCAGCTATTTTAGCCAGTTCTCAACCACTGAAGGTTTTGGCCTTAATTTGAGCTTCATTTTTCCACTGGAAAATGCCAATTTGTTGGACGTGGGGTTTTGCAGAAGTGCCGGTTTCAGTGAAGGCTGGTGGTTTCTCAGGGCCGTGATGGACCTGCTGGAGGGGAAGGCAGGCAGCGAAGGTACCTGCCTGGGAACTCAGGGAGCGGACAGACTGACGTGCTTGTGCTGGACTGGGTCGAGCAGGGGCTTGAACATCTTTCTGCGAGAGATTTGGCAAAGGAGTTCTCAGCTGATTCAGCTGTTGGAGAGAGCTAAGAGGAGAGATGGGAGGAAAGGAGCATGCCAGGGTGGCATTATTATTATTATTACCATTTTTTAGTGGGGAAAGGAGAAAAAATTTCTACTTCCAATGCAAAAACAAAAAGCAGAAGTCAAAATTCCTCAGAAACACAGTCCCTCCTCCGGCCGGATTTAGCCACAGCTTGCCTTGGTGAATCCAAGGGGTCAATTAACAAAGATTAATTTACTGCCTCTCAACCTAATAAAAGCAAAGGACCTGCCTGACCTTGCTAACAGCTCCCAGTTTTAGGCAGTCACATTCAGCAGTTCCCCATCATTATGCTAAACCAAACGAACACCCAAGTTTCCATCTTCCAGGGCCTAAATCCTTCAGCACAGTATCATCATCTTCCGCTGCCTTCGTGTGAACTTTTCCACCTTCCTTATGCTCCTATCGAGGTAGTAGCATCTTATGGATTTATGCTGGCCCCTGGGATCAGTTCACAGCTATTGTGGATGCCCTGTCCTTCGTACACTGGCTCTCAGCAGTGTCTCTTTAGCTTCTCAGCCTTACTGCTTTTTAGTACTTAATTATGTTGTTTATTTTGCATTTATTGGACTGTGCTGTGCTTTCATTGCTTAGATAAAACTAGCTAGCAATCCCCGGGCCTCCCGAAGGAATGCTACCGTGGGAAATTAATGAATGCACTATTTTCCCCAGCACGGAGCAAACACACTGCTAATAGTGACAAACTCTCAACCCTTCCTCGGCTGCAGCATTGGTGAAAAATCCTGCCTAGTCCATGCATGTGAAGAGACATGGCCATTGAAACTGCTGACAAATAGCTCCGCCTGAAGGACCAAACGACAGGATACTAAAGCACATGCGGATGCCACCCAATGCTTTACTTTTTGCTGTCATCATCATCAGGCAAATCCGTTGATCCAAACTTGAGAAATCAATAGCACTCAAACAAGGAAACTTGTTATTTTCCACTGGACAAACTTTAATTGTCTCAGAGGCTTCCAAGTCCAATGACAGACACTTCATTTAAAGCAAAAAATAGTAGTGCTGTATCTCTTTCTTTTATATTGAAGACTAGGATTCTTCTGATGTGAAGTGCCTGCTCTGGCTTGACAAATACCCAGCACTGGTAGATGTTTAGAGCAGGCAGATTAGAAAGACAGGCGAGAGGGTGAATGATTTTGGTGCTGTGGAGTACAGGCTGTAGTTTGCAACAGGCATTGCTACCACTAGCAGACAGAAATATAAGTGAACGTTTCCTTGCAGTCACTGATGAGACTTCCAGTGTGACTCCTTTTCTGTCACATTACATTATTTGCCACGCTGGGAAACTCAGTAATTACTCTGCAGGCACTTATGAAGACATACTTGTTGAAACAAATGATGGGGCATGAGGTGATTGTTAGGCACAGGCTGGAAACCAACAAGCCCGTCTCATGAAGGAAATAAACCAAAACACTGTCACTTCTCTGGTAAAAAATATTTCCATATTAAAATTGGACAAGAAGAACAGACTGAGCAATTTTTCAGGGGGAAAGGAAATGGTTCCTGGAAAGCAAATTCGCTTCTGCAAAACAGAAATTATTTTTCTGCTCCTGGAAGGATATTACCTGGTTTGCTTTTTCAGATGATCAGCTTGGGAACCAATAAATCGGTTTTCCCAATGGGAAGTCCAAGTGTTTGAGATAGCAAGGGTGTTTTCCACTCAGAATTCATGTCCACAGAAAACCCCTAGCTGGACATTGTATAACCTGACATGGAACCTGACCATTGTCAACTAAAACCTAAAATATTTTGTAGACTCCCTCAGTAAAATACCTCACAAGACAACCACCTCTATCACAGAGATAAATCAAGGTGGGGAACACACTACCCTGTTTAACCACCTCCCACTACCCTGGAGAATGTCTAGCCCATATTTGGGTCTTGGTGAACTTTCCTTGCTGGTGTGGGGTGATGGCTACTCCATGGATGCAAAACTCTGAATTAGCAGGAGACATTTTAACATTACCTCATGAGACAGGTAAAAGGCAGCAATTCCCAATGGCCAGAAGCAGCAGAGCATGGAGAACACAGTGATGCCAAGATGATCTCTTGGTGGCATCATCAGGAAATTGTCTTCGCTTTCGGTGTCACTTGAGTAATCGCTCTGGAATAGCAAGGGAGAGAGAAATGTAGAGGTGCTGGTTAATGATATAATTATTTCTCCTCTATTGTGGGCAAAGGCTGTGATCATCTGCCCATAAAACTCTCCCCAGTCACACCAGGGCAATTCCTCAACATCAAGACAGGCCTCCAGCACTCATGGTAGAAGGCTTCTGGTGACCCACCCTGGGGTCCCTACCATGCAGGGGTCTCTAGACAGGGCCAGGTCTGGAGGCACTTGTACCCTATTCATCAGGGCCCATGCACCCATTCTGCTCTGCTGTGGCTCCACAGCAACAGGACCACCCTGCCTGCCCTCCTGCAGCATCCACACCAGCTGGTGGCATCCTTCAGAAGGACTTCAGGATTGAGACTGTGGCCGTGGCACATCTCCCTCCCTGCCCTGCTGAAAGGCTCACCAGGGCACTAACACCCTGTTTTAGCAGCACCCCGAAGGGAGGCTGAGAGACCCAAACCCTTATGTCTGCACCAAAATCAAACAGGAGCGAAGTGGGAGCACAGCTCAGAGGCAGGGTTATCTCTGCAAGTGGCAGGTTGGGACTGCAGCTGCCCTGTCAGCACCAACGCTTGGGGAAGCCACCCCAGCCAGCGTCACAAAGTCAGCTCTCTTTTTCTCTCCTACTGCATGCACAGCACAGGCTAGCAGGTGGCTTCCTTACGAACACCAGGGGAATCTCCATTCCCTGACTATGTCACAGCCTCCATCGCTATTGCACGAACTTGAAAGCAAGAAATGAGAAATTACAAGAGATTTTGGTAATCACTGCAGGGAGCTGAAAAGGGCCCATTTTACATGTTCATCTTTCATGAATGAAAGAAAGCGACTCTCTAGCCAGATGGACCAGAGTGAACCTGGGTGGGTTGGCACTTCGGAAACATGTCACATATCTAATGCAGAAGGATCCGTAAGCATTGGGTGCTCTGCATCTCCCAACTCAAATGCCAGTCTTCTGGAAGGTCACTGCTCAGGTGGCCGCGAGAATGTCAGACAGACACTACCCAATGGGGACAAGGTGACAAATGTGGTGCAAACCTAAGCATAAGGAACCAAGGTAGCAAAAGCTGAAAGAGAAAAAAGCATGAGTTGCTCCAGCAGCAATGGGATGCTGCCAGATTTACAGTGTGTAGGCAGAACCACCCGCCCAGGCATGTTTCTTGGATGCCCCATGGTCAAGCTGCAGCAACCCTGACCTAGCAAAAGTTTCTTTCACGGTGATTACTAGGACTGGTCCACAGGGACCTGACTGCCCCACTGCTAGGCGAGTACAATTCTCCAGCAGAGCAGGAGTGGAAGAGAGCCTGCTCTCTGGTGGCTTCCTCCTCACCTGCAGGGAGTCCACATGCAACAACAGGCATGGAGGCTGTGGTTATTCCAGGCTTTGGAGTTACAGCTTTTGTGCAAGAAGGGCCCTGCAAAGCTTTTTAACTCACCCTGGGAGCACATCCAGCCTGAGACGAGGTGGCCAAAAATCTTCTCCAAAACCCTTTTGTAGTTGCATGTTCTTCACTGATTGTAGGAGAAATGCTGTGCAAAATCTCACTGAAAGTTAGACATCTGTGTCATGTTTAGAAACGTACCCTTTTGGGCATGGGTTTTGTGTCCCTCTTAGAAACTTAGCAGCCTTTTCAGGAGTTTTTGGCCTTTGGGCCAAAACAACTGCTAAAGTGACATTGCTCTACCAGTCAGCTCTAAGTGAGGAAACTCCTGAACAGGCTGCTAAGCATGCAAGACAGGAAAATGAACCCATGAGCAAGAAGGTAAGTTTCTAAACATGCCACTAGTGAGCCACGACTCAGAAGAACCTAGGAAATGTTCGCAGCCTAATAATATTTGAAAGACTTGGCACTGGGAAAAGGGATTGCCTCCCAAGCCGACCCATTTGGGGAACCCACCAGATGACCCATTGCTTGCTAACACGGAGAGTCTGCGTTGACAGATATTGCTGCCCAGCACCTGCCACAGACCAGAGGGGTCTGGGAGGGAGAGGTGGGGGGACCAGACAGGTCCCATGCACTGAGATTGTGTGGTGCATGTGAACACCAGCACGTAGAGCACCCCCGCCTGTGTCAGGAGTCTTGGTGCCTCAGCAGAAGTGACAAAGCTCCATTTGGCAGAAGCTCAATAAAATCCCACTTCTGAGGGGACACCTGCTGATGCTGGTGTACAGTGTTTGAGCTTGGTGACTTCCCTTTCTGCTTTAATTTTCAGAACAGGCCATGTAAGTCATTTTTAATACCAATAATCTTTCCTTTCAAGAGTCAGAGAAGAGAGGGGGAGGGAGGAAATCCACAACATCATTGCTGAAACAGTCTCTTGAAACAGTGTCCTTCCCTGAACTTCATGACAGGTAAGATACAAAAACAAAAATGCTTTTGATTTCCCAGTTCTTGGCTGAGTAGTGTGCTGGTATTGCATCTGTGGAGACTACCTGCTGATATTTCAAATTGCCTTTTCTTGCAGATGAAGGTGAAATGGGGCAAAGATTCTCTAGTTAATTTTGATCACGTGCTGAACCAGAAAATTACCAGTTATGCTGCTTTCCAAAGGGACTAACCATTCTCAGGGTGGTGGCGTCAGGACATCTCAGAGAGCGCCCATGCCGACTGGAGAGGTGGCTGTTAGATTGCAAGAGGATAATTGCGGAAGTTTTCTTTCGTTATGCTAACATAAAAACCCTTACTGGGGAAGATTAAGTCACTATAGGCTCATACTAATTGAACAGTGGAGTTATGTTGTGAATGCCATTTTGATGGGCAAAGTCCCCATAGTACACATTGGATCAGATGACCTGTCAATCACCAAGAGTGACACAATAATTCTGATCAGAAAGCCCTGACCATGTAGTCCAGATATGAACCAGCCGGGGGGGGGAAGTCATAAATCACAGAAAGAAATCCAACAGCAAAAGGTACCTCTTACCCCTTCCAGCTAAACACTCATTTCTCCAAGCAAACCTTCCTCCCTGATGTTCTCTCTCTTACAACACGATACCCAATCCTGAGCTTACCGAAAGATCCTCCCTATCCAGAAATGTTTCTGACATTGGGAAGCTTTTGACAATTTGGCTACATAGCTGGCTGTCTTCACTTGTTCCTGGTTCTGCAAGAGCTGCACCCTGACATTGGAGGAGCTGGATGTTAGGAGTGCTGAGAAGTCAGAATTACCTTCACCAATTACAGTTGCTTTGGGTTAGCAGACTAATCCTGCATAATCACTGATATTCTTGTCCACAGCACTGCTCCTTTCATATTTAAAGTCTCTTTATAAATTTACATGGAACTTTTCACAATTACATCATATTTCCACTAATCTGACTGAAAGCTTTTAATTCTTGCAGAAGTTAGGGAGTAGCATAACTAATTAATTTTGAAGGTTTGGGTGGTGAGCAAGACTGCACAGACAAACTTTTCTTTATTTAATGTTAAGGTAGATGAGTTTAAGCAATCTGAAATATCAAACTAATGTTTTTTCTTTCTACAGGTGTACCACCAGTGCATCCTCCAACCAAATAATAAGCAAGCAAAGGACAACTTGTGCAACCATTAAAAAAAACATGTGGCAAAAAGCATCCCTTTCTTGGTTGAGATATTCTGTTCATTGGCAGAGCAAAGATCCCTAATAGTTACTCTCCTAACAACTCCCAGTTACTCCAGGCTTTTTGCTGAGGTGCTAAAGACACTATCGAGTTACCCTCTTTGAAAAGAGCTATTCTATCCTGTCAGTCAGACGACACCACTGTCTTCATGATGCTAGAAAAATCTGAGGATGAAACAAGGCAAAATACATCCCGATGCAGCTGCAACCACCTAAGTGACAAGAGACAGGAGGATCACGGGGTGCCAAGGAACAGCAGCAGCAGCAGCTGACAGTCTCTTCGGGACGTTGAGGGATTCACTCCTTTTCAGACATGACATCTGGTTCCAGCAGTTTCCACTGCAATTGCACAACCACTTCTAACCACAACGCACGGAGAATATTTAGAAGGCAGCGCCTTTCCACTGCAAGTCAGGCTCTGTCTTGGAGACACATCTTTGTGCTTTAACGTGAAAGATGTAATCTCACCAAGGTCCACAGACCTTCCCCTCGCCAAGTGAGCTGCGCTCTCTGCAGCCCATGCGAGGTGCTGCTGTGAGAACAGATAACCTGTGCAAATGGCCCTGTAGCAGAAATGATACATCTCTGAAATTACTGAGCACACAGTGGGGATTTCCTGCTTCCAATGGATCCTTTGTCTCAAAAGCAGTTATTACAATGACAACAACCCTCCTCATCCTCGCTGATTACTGCTGCGTGTCCCTCACCAACACACTTGGAGTTCAGCTGAGAAGACAGCACAGGATAAAGCAATCTCAGCCTCAGTTTATCCACAAGCTGTTTTGTGGCTGTTATGACAAAGAGATGACCTCAGGAGTGCAGGCAAGACTGGAGCTACCAGGAGATCAGGCCCCAGAGGACATCTCCCCTGAGCATGAATTCCTGCAGAAAGCACAGCGCCCTGCCTAGATGAATGTTGATTACAGTGAATGACAAAGAAAGCAAGCAGCTCCTCTCTTCTCCTCTCCTCTCCTCTCCTCTCCTCTCCTCTCCTCTCCTCTCCTCTCCTCTCCTCTCCTCTCCTCTCCTCTCCTCTCCTCTCCTCTCCTCTCCTCTCCTCTCCTCTCCTCTCCCTCCCCTCCCCTCCCCTTTCCTTCCCTTTCCTTTCCCTTTCCTCCCCTTTCCCTCCCCTTTGCCCTGCCCTGCCCTGCAGGAAAAGGACCTGAAGACAATGGCCTGTTTCCCCAGAGGACTAGGTGACACCATCAGAGAAAAGGCTTTCACTCGATGAACCAGCTGGGATGCCCCCACACAAGCTCTTCGACTCTGTCTTATTTACGCAGGTTTTTCAATGGTGCACATCTCTGCAGCCCTAAAATGCATTAGGCGCAAGCGATGTGGGCAGGATATAAACTGGATTTCTGCAGAAACTGTGGATGTGACAAAGG